TGGTTGAAAACATGAGAGAGAAAAATATATTTTAAAAATAATGGGGATCAAACAAGGGCAAAATAGTAGACTGAAGTTTACCAACAAAGACTAAATAGTAGGCTAAAATTGAAATTGGAATAACAAAAAGTCATAGAAAGGATTGTTTGGATAACCATACAACTTCGTATAACTTTTCATGCAGTTGCTCAGGACAGGTAAAATACCCGGTTCAGCACAAGATTAATCCAAAACTTTTGTTTCAGCATAAACCAGGAAAAAGGATGCTGTAGGAGCCAAATGGCTTGAATACAACAATAATTCCTTGACAAAATTCCAACTCCCTAGAATTTATAAACGAAATACAGCAAACGTGCACTGGGAAGGGATGAAGTGTGACATTCATACCTATGTGCATATGTATGCCAAAGGAACAAACGCCTGACACTTTCGCCAAGAGGATTGCTATAGACACTTCCCGTCCCGCAAAAATTTTGGGAGGACATCATCATGGATTTCATTGAGCGGTACCCAAGTCGGGAGAAGTGGATATTTTCTTAGTGGTGGTTGATTAGTTAAATAAATAAGCACATTTTATTAGTCATAAACATCCTTTTGTAGCACATTCAACGGCATGGACGTTCGTAAAGGAAATATTACGGCTACATAGAATGTCTAATTCAATAGTTTCCTATTGAAACAAGGTTTTCATAAGTCATTTTTTGTCAGAATTATTCTGGGCATAAGGGGTAGTGAAGTGATCTACGGCCTACCATCATCCCCAATTCGATAGCCAATCTAAAGTTCTCAATCAAAGTCTTGATTATCTCCGCTGCTGCACATCTACTATGCAAAATCAGTGGATGCAGTAGCTGCCTTGGGCAGAATTCTGGTACAACTCTTCTTATCACTCTTCATCTCAATTCACTCTGTTCCAAACTGGTAGCAACATTGTTAAAATTTGAAAAAGGATCTACAGTAAACTCCTAGGTTGAGTAACAATTAGTACATAGAAATGAGATTTTGGACTAACTTAAAATGCATCTTCATGGTTCACAACAAAAGATAATATTGACCACTAATAGACATCGCGGGGGGTAAAGTTTAAAGTTGGCGAAAGGGTGTATATTAAGTTGAGACCATATTGTCGACGGTCCTTTGCATCGCAACCCAATGAGAAACTTGCCCTTTGATATTATGGCCCCTTTCAGATTTTATCGCGCATTGGTTCAATGGCTTATAAATTACAATTACCCAAGGAGTCACCTATCCATCCCGTATTTCACGTCACACAACTATGAAAAGCCATTGAAAATGTGTCGTTGGGTACGCCCTTTCCTTGCAACCCAATAATGAATTGGGCTATAATGGGTGTGTCATAATCTCAACAGCCAACTTCATATGTACAGATTCAATGGAAGGACTAGCCGATCTTTGAGGCGATGTGGAAACCCTATGAGTTGACTCGACAGTAGTTTCCCTTATTTCACCTTGAGGGCAATGTAAGTTTTGGGAAGGGGAGTATCGATGGACCTCCAATTCATCATACATATACACACAAGGGGAAGAAGAAAGGTGCTGCTATCACTGAAGGGAATCAAAGGGCACAGCTGTGACTTGTGTCGGTCACTTGGTTCCAAAAAGTCCTATTAGTAGTTACAAGTTTCTGTTACAGGAGCTATGAGCTGCATCCAGAAAGTCCTATTGGTGGTTACAGGATTTTGTTACAGAAGGGGGTTGGTATTGGGTGGGTATTTCGGTTAGGAAGCCGTTGGAACTCTAGCATAAATAAGAGAGGTTAAGGTGATACAAAGGAGGGAATTACCCATTAGGAGAAAGCCATACCTATCGAGAATTGGCACCTTCCCTATAATGTCATTTTCATAGTTGCAGGGAATTGTAATATAACTCTTTTCATTTTAATATTAGTGAATAAAATTCAGTGTTTCTCTTCTAATTGTCATTTGTTCTTTCAATCAGTACACATATTTCAACCTATTATACTTCAGATACTATGTTTCTCTCTTTCAATATATATTCACAGCTTCTTATCCAGAAGGAACGTATCACATTCATAACCTAAACTTTTAGGATCCTTTTGGATCCAACGAACAATGGAAAACCCTGGGGAAAATCTTTCCCAGTGTTATATACAAAGGAAAGGACAAACCAAACTAGTGCAAAAGCAAAATCAAGAGAAGACTTTCACAAGTCAAATGTTATTTTTCTTCAGTTATTCACGCAACTGTGAACACTAAATGATTTCAAACTTAATTTCGAGTATTTTTTTTAGAGGAAAGATAAGCAAAATCAAGTTTCACATTGCCACCTATTTTCCTTGTCCTTTGAAACCAGGGGTCCAAACAAAAAAATGGCGAACTACTTTGACTGAAGTTCAAAATATATGTAGTTTTAAAACATAGGTAGAAGTAGACAGAGCTTACAACTCTAGTTCACCTATCTCAAAAACCAGCAAAATGTGACCACCACAAAATAATAAGATATAATGAATAATATTAGTTTTCTTAACACTTTAGCATCTTTTGTCATCACGAATTTAAGAATTTCAATTCACCGAAAAACAATTTGAATTCAGCCGGATTTTTCCCAGTTGCAATTCTAGGACCTCAATTCAACAATACACAATCCAGACTCATAGCTAGATTGTTTGCATCACATTTCTCTCCTTCCTTGATTAATTATAAAATAACAAAATTAATTGTTACTCAATATAACCAATTAGAAAAAAATTCACCAACAGGAAGGAAAAAGGCACTTCTTTTGAAAACAAAATGGAAACTAACAGATGTAAATTAGGTTTCAAATGTCTGCATACCTATCATGTGACCGATTAGCTTAAGCTCATCCTGAGCTTCTTCTATCAGCTCCTCGACCTGGCCACATCCTAAGCGCTTCTCGATGGTCTCCCAGTCCTCTTCCTCTTGACAGACCTTTAGGCGTTGGCGCGTGAAGCTCTCAACGGCTTTACGGTAGCCTTCGTCCTCAGGGACCGCCTTGATCTCCTTTAAGGTTTTGTTGTAGAGCCCGACGAGCACCTCACGGGCGTTGGGAACCACCTCGAGACCGACTATACCCGTCGTCTCCTTCACTTTTGCCATCATCATCAGCGGCCGCGCCATCCTCCTTAGAAACATTTTTCCGCCGGAAATGTACTCGGTTGGTTTACTCCCAGACTTTTGATTGTGAATCCCATGTTTTTATTTATTTATGAATATTTTTATATCCAATTAACTTTAAAAAATAATAATAATAATAATAATAATAATTATTATTATTATTATTATATTCGCACCACAATTTTTATTTCTTACACCACATTTTAATTGCACTTAAAGTTCTTACTTTGTTCATTATAATATTTATATCTCTAACGATTTTTTAGGATATTCTTATCCTCAAACTTTTTATTAATTAACATATTTTGTATTTAATAATAGTTTTATATACAAAAGTCGATTTGAAATAACGTAAAACAACTTATTTTTCATCATATTTTTAAAAAATAAATAAAAAGTGCGAAATAAATATTTTTCACTCATTTCAAAAGATGAAAACAAAATATTTTGATATTAATTATCATCAACGACGAGACATACTAATTAATGAAAGTTTAAAGATAAAAATTCGATAAAAAAATCAAGAAAATAATTATTACAATGAAC